CACACACACACACACACACACACACACACACACACACACACACACACACACACACACACCATGAAACTGCTTAGCAGCTTACTCCACTTCCACGCTTAGTTCATACAAGAATGCAATGCAGTGTACCCTGCGCCCTGGTCCTAATACTTTGCAAGGTCGCAATTAAGGTCGTCTTGATGCATTAGAAACACAGGGGCCTCTCTTTGACCAGCGTCATGTGCAAGGACGTCAGAGAATTGACAGGCAAAAAGCACAATACACAACAAACAAGAGAATGGATGAGAAATATCACCACCATAAGAGCACACCAAAGAAGCGGCAACAGACACAATAAATAAGAAACATCACCTACGAGCACACCAAAAAGAAGCAACAACAGACACAGAATACATGGTTGCAACTTGCAAGCAAAATCACAACAGACTTGATAATCCGATGGACAAATGCAAGAGTGAAAAACAACATGAGGGCCTGATGAGGCTGAAAAAAATGTTGCCAACCGTCAAGTTCGGCATCAACTACACTATTGTGACTATTCTTATTCCGTGATGCATTTGCCCTTTGTATCGTGTTCCCTCTGTTGTAGAACCCCAACCTACCATCTGCCTTCTTTTTTTTGACTGACAGAGAGGGCAGCGGCAATGCAAGAGGACCACAAAGAACTTCAAAAGCAGAACGATTTTTTTTCCCAAACTGCCCTCGTAAGACTGCATGTTTTGATCTCATAAACCACCATCAGACATTTAGCCCACCGTATGTTCTGTTCGTATGGCCGACGTATGTTCTATTCTCTAAAGACTATAAGGTCTAGGCTATGTTCTTGATGCGCCAATAAACCATATGTGACAGTTGCAAAGGTACTAAGAGAAGAGCATAACTACAGTCTTCCCCCAAATAGAACGTATGTTCATTATGACCGTATATAGACTTAAGGCTGCCCCAAATACACAGCTATAATGGCCGTATGTTCTACTCGGGGGAAGATGGTAGTCCACCGTATAATGTGTCTTAGCCTATCCATAGCGTACCTAGGATGTCCATAGCCTAGACCTTATAGTCTTTAGAGAAGTTAAGACATTACGTATCTTGCAATGTCAGCTCTATTTGCACCCTCAACCCGCTCGCACCAGACTTCTTAACTCCCGTCTGCTTCATTGAAACTATACATTCACACATTTCAGATCAATGCACACAGGATCAAAAGCGGTGGACAGCCTCGTCCCTCCGTCGCCCCCAGTGTTTGCATTTTTAAACTTTAAAGTAGTTGTTGGTTCTTTGTATAACTTCTCATTCTTGATGGAATAGCTGCTCCTAGAGCCCAGTCCAATCCAGTCATTGTTTGAACTTTGAACCACATTTCTCTGGCCATGTGACAAGTGTGCATTGAGACCGTACATACCACTAACACACTCCCCTCCTTCCATGTACCAATCCACATGCTTCCAGCTCTCACAGTGCCATTCTCGCGCTCCCGGCAAATAGTCCCCGTTCCATTTTCTTTTTCCTCAGTTCTCTCGTCGTCGACAACAAATAGGCAGTTTGCGAGTTCATATGTACTATACTGTGTATGGCAAATCCAAGTGACAGATGATGGGAACCCGTATGGACGAAAGGAAAAGCAACGGGACCAGGTATGGACCACGGGACAGACAGTGGACCACGTGTAGACCTCAGGGCTGAAGTTGGCCAATGCGTTCATCTCCAAGGAGATCTGCCCAACCGGGCTGAGTGGACATGGTCACTGAACTTTAATTTAAGCCACCACTACCTCCACAGGCTGACTCAGAACTACGGGTGGACATGGTCACCGAACTTTAATGGTCCAGTAGCAACGCTCACCTGATATAGCCTACACTGCATCCTTCGGGTGAGCGGTGCTACTGGACCAACAGGGCTGGCAGTGCCAGCCACAAAAAAGAAAATCGCCATGCTGGCACTTCAGCAAAGCTTGGCGCACAGTTCTTTTCCACCTCAGCAAAAAGAGGTTGGGAGGTAGGGGTGGTTTAAGCCTTAAGGGTGATTTACCACTGTTTGGATTCCCCATAGAAAGGATGCAAATTGGTTCAAAACTTCGAGAATAAGAGGGTAAATTTCAGAGGTATGACTTCTACTCAGGCATCGGACAACCATCCTGTGTCATCGCACCTGGATATTGCAACTGCATGAAGGTACAAACAACGAGAAGTCACCAACTGGCCTACCATCTTCACCCAAATAGAACGCCCGGTCATTATCGCTGCATCTGGAGTCTGGACCGAAAGTTGTGCCAAATACAGCTATAATGACCGGGCGTTCTATTCGGGTGAAGACGGTAGCTCAGTTGGTACACCCCTGAACTTAAAGTTGAAATGCAGACCAGGTGCTGAGTTCGAACTCCACTGGAAGCAGATGAGTAAAATATTAAATTATTGAATTATTATTCTGAATTACCTAGGGCCGGTCAGTTGGATGATGATATCTCGAGGCTGTTGCCCTTTTTACAAAGAAAGAGAGAAAGTTGTGAGAAAAATAAAGATAGGTCAGGAGGGAGAAAGGTATAGGTGGGAGCTGAAAGGAGGAGACAAGAGAAACAGGAGAGGGGGGTAACCTTACAATATTGTCCTGAGTCTTCTCTCTTCCAGTACCTTGAAAAGCAGAAATCCCTCTGCCTCGAAAACCTGCCACATTTCAATCAACAACACAATCCCCACACCTCCTCTTCAGGTTCAGAAATCAGAAGCAACTGCGATGATGCAGTACACGGGAATGCGCATATCTGAAGTATCATGAGATAAGCAACTACCGGTAGTGGGCTATCATCAGACTACCGTCTTCACCCGAATAGAACGCCCCGTCATTATCACTGCATCTGGACCGAACGTTGCGCCAAATACAGCTATAATGACCGGGCGTTCTATTCGGGTGAAGATGGTAGCAGCAGGAGGTTCATTCTGGTCTCAGCAATCTCTGCCATGCACTTCTCGCTTTAACGACTCCAATGGTTCTGGCAACTGTGCCGGGGACAGATCACTCCAGGCCGCTACTCTCTCTCTCTCTCTCTCTCTCTCTCTCTCTCTCTCTCTCTCTCTCTCTCTCTCTCTCNCACACACACACACACACACACACACACACACACACACACACACACACACACACACACACACATATTAGAGTGGTAAACGGTGGCAGTGAGGTGCATAGGAGGACAATCTAGCAGAGTGAAATAGATGTAGGGGAGACAGATGCAGGGAGCGGAAGCTGATGAGCCACACTTGCACCCAGGGTCACTGTTCGCGGGCCTGTGTGTGTGTTATCAGAAACCTCCCAAAATCAACCTCAATTCATACCAATATCCGGACAATGGTAATATGAGTGCAAGGGCCTCTGTAGTCGAGCACATGGTGCCTGGGGACCCGTTCACGTAAAGCGGACTTGCACCCAGAGATGAGTGAGCAAAGATATAAGACCTCAAACAATCTGGATCCAATCAACAGAAATCATCAGTATCCTTCACCAAAATAGAGGCCTGAAAGGCCCTGAAGCCCTTTAAGCTCCAACATTCCTACAAAGCACAGTTAATCAAGGAACCTCGCCCGCGCAATCTTCACAGAGCACAAGGATTTGAGTCCACTCCCTTTCGCTACAGTTATTGAACACGAAAGGCCACACTGAAACCCCGACACGGCAACAGAAGCATCACCCGCCAAAAGCACCCCGCTCAGTGATCACCCCCTATTCCATATGCTCCAAAACAAAAACAGTCCAACTTAACACACTCTGTGCCCGACCACAGGGATCCCGGTCAACAGCACCAGTCAATCCTTGTTCATCTCTTGTCTCTACTGTGTGGTTTCATGCAGCTGTTTGAGTGCGACTTAGCACTGCTCGCACCACTCTGCTTTCTATTTACATCCCTAAAATTACCCCCAAAGGAGGAACAGCCTGGTTCGATAACATGTCCGGGACATAAGGCATGCGTGGCACTACTTACTAAAGCATTTTGCACCCCTGCCGATCCATGTGCTCCGAAATGCACAGCCCACGGGAATCTCATCTTGCAGCACAAACTACCTGAGTCCGACTACCAGCCCATTCACACTCGGTGCAAAAATGAAACCAGGCCTGTGCCATGAAACCCGCTGCAACACCAGGCGCGCCACTGCTTAAAACACCCCGGTCCCACTCAAACCATGTGCTCCAAGACAGACAGCCCATATGGGAATGCCACCCACAGCAAGCACTCGCTGAGCCTATTCAAGAGGAATCCACAGGGTATAAGAAAGGGGTACTCACCACCTGTGGATCGTCATGATGCGACACGATAAAAAAGGATAGTGGCAACCACCTCCACCATAAGAGAAAGCTACCCATGTATTCACCCAAGGCAACAAAGTAAACAAACGTCCCGAACGAGCCGTCGTGTATGTTGGTGGTGTTTCATAGAATCGCCTTATATACCAAATAGCGAGTGCAAGGCTGGACGCATCGATGTGCTGGACCAGATCCCTCCAGACGGATGAAAAAGTGCAAGGCCGACCGGACGTGTTGGTGTGGTTAAGCTCCGGGTGCCCACACACCCGGGCAAAAAGAAATGAACCTGCAGGTCCCGCCTGCACCTAATAAGGATGCCTGAAACCCACATAGCCGCCGATACAGTCTGCGTGTATTGTGAGATAATCAACAAGTCAGAATCCATTCGATGACAATAATAGGTAGTGTGTAACACCAACCATTTAACACTCCAGACGAGTAAGGGAGGGGGGCCACAACCCCAAGTTCAAGACTCCCCACGTCTGTGCGATTAAGCGGGAAGAGCCCAGACATCCATCCGTTCGAAACGCGTTGACATTCCTGTTCTCTGTTGTTATCTCATCTCTACCAGATGTACGCACAGCAGTGGACACCAAACAATCAAACCACAAGCATACGCATTTTGCAATGGCCTTGTGACTTTGCTGGCCCAACAGCAATGAGAATGATTAACAAGATATTATATACATCAAATATCAACTCTCCACAAAGTACATAGTACGTACGTGAATTGTTGTCGAAGTGCAACGTAGAGAATGTCAGTGTGTCCATCAATACGCTCAATTACCCTCCCTTCCTCAAATGTGGAATCCCACCTGCAAATGGAAAAGACAGGACCATTAGTGTCCGGAGTCGGCATAAAGCAGCAAACAAAGAATGGATCAGTGATTCACAAGCACTCGACTATGCAGGATGGCATATTCAAATATGATGCCTGACAATACCTTTCTTGACCTTTTGGCTAAAAATTTAAAAATAGACCATGTGTAGTATCTGTTCTGATCAGTTTAATATCTGATCTGTGGTCAGTTGGTTCATAAAAAATAAAAAATAAAAAATAAAAAGAAGAAAAAAGTCAGCGTGACAGATGGTGCAGAAGCACAAAATCAAGGCCACAAAGAGATACAGCCAGCAGCTGCATTTCAGAATTTGACGTTCCGCTCTTGAAACTGCTGGATGACACAGAGTGACAGAGGCTCATTCCTTGTCCTTCGGGACATCCGTTAAAATTGGAACGATACAGAAAACATTAGCATGGCCCCTGCGTAAGGATGACACACATAAATTAAGAAATGTCTGAAATGGTTCAACTTCAAAAAAAAAAAAGAAAAAAAAAAGGGTTCCTTCCTCAGACTTGCATGCAGATACAGAGGTAGTTAAGATGACTCTCATAAATTCACGAGCCCGAATCCGTGCGCAACAAAAAAGAGAAAAAGAAGTAAACACGAGTTGGAAAGAGTGGGACAACTCTGAGCTGAACAAGAGTTTAAAAAAGGGCTCATTCCTCAGACTTGCATGCAGATACTGAGTTTAAAACGACGGCAGTCACACATTCACAAGACAAATCTCGGCTGAACAAGAAGACGGTCATGCCTGAGATTATAATCTAGACGGCCAGTGGTCGGTGCGGAATTTCTGAATTCTTTTCTTTCTTTTTTTTCACACACAAAAAAAGAATATTCCTATTACACAATCTGGAAAACAGGTCCAGCGTCCCTTATATCGAGTACCCAGTCCACGCTTCCCTTCGTTATGGCCAAGGGACCCAAGGCGAAGGCATTCATTGCTTCTTGGTTCCAGGAAGGATGTACCACCCCTAACCCCTGTGTTCTCTACCTTCTTTGTCCATCCTGATCCACTTTGCGACCCTTAACTCTTACGACAAGGACCTTACTTCCTTGCTGTAGTTTCCAGAGGGTAGAGGCACCACCGATTTTTTGGACATGCTGCCTTTGCAAGTTAGGGGTTAAGGGTCTCTGTGCACTAGATCCCTATCTTACCCCATTGCAGAAAGTTTTGGCTAGATGCATTACACCCCCATATGGGGTTCTGCTCTTCCGTAGGAGGTCCAGACTGAAGCCCCGATGCAGGCTCAGAGTTGTCCCACTCTTTCCACTGACGTCGTGTGCCTGAAGTAGTTCACGCGCCAGCCAGTATCTGGCCGAATCTCTTCTCGACTTCTTGTTCTCTCTCTGGTTGCTGCCGGGTGGTCGCCTTTCTTTTCCTCACCTTGGATCCGATCTCTTCTTCGATCATCTCCTTGGTTGCAGCCCAGACCTTGCCTCTCAGGTTTCTTGTTTTATCCACGATAATGCCGCATCTCTCCTTCCAGATTACCCATAGAGTCAATTTTCTGATCGTACCATTCCACAGCCTTTCGGGTTTGTGTGGTTGAGAGGGAGTGTTGGCTCAAAGTGGGATCTGTTCAGGCTGTTCGGGGAAGGGCGTGGAGCGGAGGCCAGACCATAGGTGGCTCGCCCGAGCCTATTACTCTGTTGCTTCTTTGCAGCCTACAAGTCGGCGATAGAAGTCTTCTTTATCCTCATCGGAGCAGACTGCGCAAGCCTCCAAGCTGTTGGGGTCACTTTTTTTCCTCCATCTGTACAACCATTGGTTAACCAGGAGGGCTACATATGGTATCAGCCATTGGAGGGTCCTAATTTGATTGGTCTTATCTTCTTAAATTTATTCCATGGTATTCTTGATATCTGGTTGATCCCTGCTCCTCCGACTTTGAACCATCTCTTTTCTGTTGTCGGTGGTGGGTCTTTTGTATGGTCACGATCCGGACATCCCGATCCCAGTCAGACTGCCCCCGTGTGGATGTCCGGCTGGACCGGTAGGTATGGAAGAGGATTTCTTTTTTTTTAGTTAAAGGCCCACCCCCTAAAAAAGTTTTGGGATTTTGGCCCTTTCAGTTAGCCAAACACAGCTGGGCTGGGACTGAGACTGATTCTGATTCACACACACACACACACACACACGCACACACACA